CTGCAGGTCGGGAGTGAGGGGCACAGGCAGGGCTGGGGGGGGGTCAGGGGGCTGCAGGTCGGGAGTGAGGCGCACCTTACTGGCAGGTTTGTGTTTTTCTGCCCCGGGTCGGTGCGTGTCCCTGGTGCGCTCGCTGGGGGCACGTGTGCGACGCTCTTGGCACGTGTGTTTGTGCCCCGGTGCGAGGGCGGCGGAGGTGGGAGCATGAACCCCTCGGGGCGCAGCTCTCCCCATCCCTGCCCTTGTCCCAGGTGCCCAGCGCCGCCCCCAGCCCGGGGGCGGCCCCTTTGCCCCCGTGCCCGATGCTGTGGGGGGCCCATGGGCTCCTGTCCATCACCCCGGCCTGGAAGCCACTTGCTGCCAATGACCCAGCCTCGTAAATCCCCTTTGAGCCCCACTGGCCTCCTGCTCCGGCCGTTAATCCTTCTGGGCAGCGAGAGCCAACTCTGACCCCTGGGACCCACCACCCGCTTAGCCCAGCGCCGCCCCCCAGCTCGGGGCCGTGAAACTCCCAGGGCTGCACAGCACCGTCAGCCTGAGGTGGGCAGAGAGCAGAGCACATGCGTGTGCAGGGTGCCACGTGCGAGCACACCATGGCACCACGTGCAAGCAGGCCACGTGCAAGCACATGACGGTGCCTTGTGAAAACACATGCGTGTGCAGGGTGCCACGTGCGAGCACACGACGGCACCATGTGAAAGCATGTGCATGTGGCGTTATCGAAGGGGCCCAGTTCTGGTCTCGCTCCCTGTGCGAAGCTGGGGGCTGCGTGCTGGGCCTCCAGCCGGTGCCTGGCGCAGGTTTGGCGCCCTGCCCCCAGCCCGGGGGTGGAACTGCCTGTCCCAGCCCCTTCCCTCTCCCCCGGCAGGATGGCGTGCGAGCTCTTCCTCCTCTCCTCCCTCTGGTTCCTCTTCGTCATCTTCTGGATGGAGACCATCAGCCTCTGGGTCTTCCTGTGCAACTTCTACCAGGACCGAGTCTTCTACCACTGGGGGGAGCGGTGAGTCCCGGGGGGGGGTCCCCGCCTGGACCAGGTGCCAGGGCAAGGCCCATGTGAGCACCCCCCAGCCAGGCCCACTGCCCGTCACCTCCACAGGCAGAGCCACCCATGGGCCTTGCACTCCCCCTGGCTGCAGATCCCCCTCCCCCCGTTGGGCTGCCCAGGGCCCAGCTCAGCGGGACCCCCAGCTGGTTAATTCAGGGCAACATTGCCTGGCAGGTGGTCAGAGCAGGGGGCTGGGAGCCAGGACCCCTTGGTTCTCTCCCAGCTCCAACCCGGCCCTGCCCCCGTGCAGAGCTACGAGGGGGCCGGGTGGTCCTGGGCCCAGCGCCTCCCCCGGCTCTTTGCCCAGAGGGGGCCAGTTCCGCAGGCGCCCGAGGCCGCTCACTCCTGCTGGCTTGGTTGCTCCCCAGTGACGCAGCATCTCCCTCGTCCCGTCCCGCAGGCAGGGGCCCAGGCAGGGAGCGGAGCTGGCGAGGGACCAGCGCAGGGAGTGGAACTGACCTAAGGAATGGGAGCGGCCTAAGCTGCAGGCAGGGAATCCACAGTGGGAGAGAACCCAGGAGTCCTGGCTCCGAGCCCCCCCCTGCTCTAACCACAAGACCCCACTCCCCCCCCCCCGAGCTGGAG